ATATCTAGCTGATTCAATGTTCACCATTAGTGAAATCACTGCTTAGAAATGCAAATTTTTTATATTACGTAGATATTATTACTTTGATTTCCTTTGGTTTTTTGTTTTCGTTATCGATAATGAGTTTTTGTACTCTTAACTAAAGTTATTTTGCACTGAATGATAAAATGAAAGTACATGCACTGTGAGTAGTGCATTCAAATAAATAATCAGTCTGCTTTTCACTTTTCTGTCTATATTGTCATATTCTTTTAGTCAAGCCATTTAAAGCAGTCGACTACATATCACTAGGGTATGTTTAGATGAGGTGTGATTGTGGTGAGAGCAGGCTGCTAGCCGATTGGTTGACACTAATCTACGTTAATGTCTAGGTCACTAAAATGGTCCGTGAGAAAATATGAACAAGGCTGATTCAACAACCAATCACAGCAAACTTAACGTGGCAAAATATGATTCGCAGATAGAGAACTCTATTTGTCAAGGAATCCCGAAACAACCAATCAGAAGCCTGCGTTTGTCTGCAACCAATCAGATGACTGCGCTTTTCTACTTGCATAAGCTATAATAATGTATGTGAAATATATATAAATACGTGTTGATTTTTATAATAAAACGATCTGTTGCCTGGCCCTTGTCTTCTGTTGTTACATGATTACCCAGTATAGGACTTGTTTTCGAAGATACGGAGATATAAGCCTTCAAGCAGATTTGAGAGTTTACACTGTTTTCTACGTGAGATTTTACTAAAGTTATTTTTTTGAGATGTGTAACTATATAGATCACAATGTATGTGATATTCTTGGTACTATGAATAGTAACCAATAAAAGCCAAGCATAAATGCTTAAAAACTATGTACTACTGGTTGAGTGGACTAAGGAGTAGTATACCACCGACCCACACATCACCTAGTTTCTTGATAATCATTTATAGCATCAGGTAGATCACATTTTTTGATCGGGACAGTTTCACATTAGTTTGTTTATTACATGACGAAGTATCGAACATAACATATTACTGGTCATAATCATATCAGTTATAACCACACGAATTCGAAACTTGAGTTTTATAGTTTTCTTTGTTCTCTCCTTTTTGTCATCGTAGGTGTGGTAGCAGAATTTGCCAGATATCCGATTGGATAGGTGTCGAATCATTCCTATTACACATGCTTGCAGTTGATTTGATAAACAAAGCTTCTGTTATCAATCTCTACCTCTATCCTGTGACATTAGATTTTAGACCTGTCATCTTATCCCATCGTATTGTATGATTGTGTGTAATTGCATGTTGTGAGTGGTATAGCTGAACTATTCTCTAGATTTCTTATCTTATTCGGGTCGACCAATCTAGATTTCGCTGCTAGATTTTTATGCTTGGCTAGTCTGACTGCCACTGTTCAACTAGTTTGACCTATGTATTTCACCTGACAATGATTCCAGCAGCATATTAGATAAACTAAACTGTTTTGTTTTAAAGGCTCCACAGGATCGATCCTTTAACCGATAAAGCTTGTTTCTAATTGAGTTTGTGGGTGGTGTGATTGTCAGCCACTTTTATTCCTGACCTGTTAAGAATTCTGCGTAAGGCTTCTGAGGTTCCTTCCTTGTATGGAAGTACTACTGATGATTTAGATTCTTTAATGTTGGTGTTGTCACTATCCTGTGCATGTCTGACATGCATGTCGTCATTAATATTACTGTTAGTATTACTATCACTACCACTACTATTATTATTTATTTTATATTTATTTTTACATTTCCATACATACATACATACATACACATGGGATAAGATGACAGTTTTGAAATCTAATGTCATAGGGTGAATTGAGGGAGAGATTGATAAGAGAAACTTTGTTTATCGAATCAACTGTGAACATGTGTAATAGGAATGATTCGACACCTATCCAATCGGATATCTGGAGAATCCTACTATCCTTACGGCGACAAATAGGAGAGAACAAAGAAGACTATAAAACTCGACTTTCGAAGTTGTCTGGTGTTATAACTGACATGATTATGAACAGTAAAAAATTGTGTTCAAAACACCGTCATCCAGTAAATAATACGATTGTTTCACTGTGTGATACATCTAATAAACAAACTAATATGGAATTACTTACTACCACAGTGCCTAAGTTTTACACATATATTAACTGGACTGTTTCAGTTTACGTAGAAATATGTAGTCAAGTCTCACCTCAAATTGTTGTAAATTGCAAATTAATTTGAAAATTGCGAATTTGATTTATCGTGTTAGCGGTTCATCAAAGTAACTGCTAGCCAGAAATCAAGTATTGTTTGAATTGATTTGGCTCTCTGGGCTAAGTCGAACCGAGTACACTGGCAATGAGATCGACACCAAAAGATGGAAACGGCCTTCCTGAGTTTAGATCACTTCGATTTGACTGGCTAGCAATCACCATTCGTTGGTGTGAGTGATATACAACTACTGATTTCAATAAATCAGTAGCATATAGCTTTTCGCAAAAATAAGTTCTCGAAAGCGTTGATTTAAGTAATTTAGTTTCATCTTAATTCAGTGTAAAATACACAGTTTTCTGTTCTATTCACGCTATCTATGGTGTGAATTGATGTGATGGTTGATAATTGAAGATGAAATTGAAACACCAGTCATGGTTAGTCATGTGTAACTTATTTTGATAATAACTGGAAAAAGCACCCTTGGTCGTCGAAGAGTGATGTAAACTCGGTTATAGATAGAGTACTAAGCCAATAATCCAGAGGAAAGTGGTTTGCACATCTGTGTGGTACACAGCTCTATATCAGTTTCATTCAGTAATAACTAGGTAGATTTCAGCCCACTTGAAGGCTAAGTGAACTCACCAATTACCACACAGATATGTGTGTATAAGAGCCAAAATATTTCGAAACTTAGAGGATCGGTGTCCACGTGCCGTTGACAGCATGGTCGGCTTGTTGTAGTGGACCTGGCTAATCCAAACTATTTTTGAGGCACTTTATTCAAAGTTTATCTAGTTTATTCGGAGAAGCTGTAAAATTTTCATTCCTGTAAGAGTCAGTTGAACTTACTACGGTTTTTCTAAGGTCCATTTTCTTATTAGTACAAGCAGCTGATGGGCGTTACTCAAAGACATAAATAAAGCAGTTGAAAAGGAATAAAATACCTAGTATCATTATTTGTCTAATTCCTAAGGAAGGAAGACTTCAGCCATTGCATGATTGTGCGCATGTCTACCTCAAGCAGTATATTAGGTCATATCGTTCTGAGCAGAATAAAGGATTCTCTGAACTTAAAATGCTGCCCGGAACAGCCTGAGTTCAGAAAATAGAAATCATTTGTGGATCAGCGGACTCTGTACCTTAACTTCCTAGACTTTGAAAAGGCCTCGGACAGTGTTAACGAGGAAAAGATTTAGCAACTGCTTCCATGCCACGTGTGTGGTTGCGTGAACATTTACAAACCTCATTCAGAAGCTTTGATATGGTGCCATATACGAAGCGATTCACAAAGGAAACGTCACTCAAGCCTTTGAAGTGAAGTCAGGAGTAAGACAAGGTTACCTACTATCACCTATGATATTTCTGATTGTGGTGACCTGGATCAAGTGGCATATCGTGCATGGGGAAAGAAAAGACTGGGATACGTTGTGCCAACGAACTGCCTCTAGAAAGTCAAGATTTCGATGATGATTTAGGTCTAATGTCACACAAATTCAAAAATTTACAGTCGAATAAACAACAAGTTGGCAGAAGAGGTAGTCAAGATGGGAGTTGATGTGAACACGGAAAAAATCGAGTCGATGAAGATATCCAACTTACAATACACAATCAGCAGTCACTACCGACGGGAGAAATTTAAGAGTAGTCCTCTCTTTCAATCACTCGGAAATCAGCTTTATAACAACAGACAGAAGGTACAAATGAGGATATCAAGGTAGATCTTCATTACTGTGAAATAGGTGTGGAAATCTACTGCAGTCGACACGATGAATAGAATCCAAGTTTTCAAGACTAATGTCAAGTTAGTGCTACTGAAGACTTTTATGAACAGCTGCCTTCATTGGTTCCATATTGAAGAATAGATGGCTGGCCAGAAAGGATGAGCAACAATTAACTCAGACAGGAAGCGAACCACCCAAAAACCTCTTGTTCAACAAATATACAGCAGGAAATGCAGATAGATTGAACATACGTTGAGGAGACTGTTAAGTGACAACATATGCCATACTGATCGTCGAATAGCACCTCAATAAGAGATGACGAATTTGACGTCTAAAACTGGCGTGAAAAACACCGTATGAACAAGAAATGAAAACTTGTATGCAGTTGTGAAAATGACAGTGGAGTGCCGAGAGGAATAGAGATGGGCTATTGAAGCCGTATGTTTCAATAATGGTAGTATTGATTAAAGAAGATGAAATCACCAGCCTGAAACCCAACCGTAGGCGAGATTTTAGAGACAGTGGGTTTGCGTGAAATCGAATTCAAATTTCCCTCTTGTGGTTAGCACACATTCTACTATTGTGCATCCGCTCAACGTATTTAACAAGTGCACGTCTAATGAAAGATCCGTTGTGCACAAACATCGGCTCAAGAAATTTCGACAATGCGAACTAAGATGAAATAGCTATCCAGTGTTCATTGGTTTCCAATGTTTCTGTAATCACTGTTAGTTCTTGAGGATGCCTTGACATTCCAATGGGCGTACAACATAGTTTGAAGTGGGTGTTGATCGATGACACTGAATGGCAGTAACACTACGTCGCTAATTAACACAGATTATAGTCCACAAGTAATCAGATTCAAACCCTCGACACCTAAAGATCATGGATTCGATGTTTTCTTGCCTTTGAAGTGTCGCAGATAAATCAACAGGAGATCACATGTCTGCATAAGCAGTTATGAAATGACTCAAACAGCTTAATTCAGCTGACGTTCAGTCATCAGACTAGACAGCATTTCCAGTGCACACTTTTTTCTCAAAACTTTGAAGCTGCCGCTTAAGTAAAAAGATATAATTTTATTCATACGTTTATTTATTTAATTGACTATTAACTTACTAAAAATATAAATGAAGTCATGAAAAAGCCAACTGTTTGGTCAGCTTTGATAAAAAATAACAAAAAATATATGTGTAATATTATTAAGTTTAATACTCATGAAAAATTGTTTGTCTTTTTTTGTCTAACACAAGCAAGCTATTGTTATTCCTGTTATTACTATTATTATCACCACTATTTGAACGCGAGCAGACAGAAGTGCTCCAATGCGCTATAAGCCAGAAAGAAAGACATTTCGTCTGAGTAAATATTTGGTCTTTCAGTTATAAGGAGAAATGAGCAAAAATTGCCATTTGAAAGGTCAGCATAGGTCAGCAAGAAGCATGATAAAAACAAGGAAGAGGACAGTGAGACACGAAACTGGAGAGAGGACAGGGGAGTGTGTCAAAACAACTTGTTTATTACGATTAACATATAATATAGTTAGGATTTTATAATGATGCTAATAATTATAACAACAAATAGACATAATTTAACTAATTTAACTAATAACAAACATATTATTAGTCAATAACAATGAATAACACATAAATTATTATTATTATTATAATATACGAAAATCTTTGTACAGTTATCACAGTTTTGCCGGTGCCGATTGAGTATACGTTTAGAGATATTAGAAAATTTAAAAAATAACTAAATATAGTAGTAATAACGTTATTATTAGTAGTATAATATGAATATTGATAGTGTTCAAAAGAAATACACACATTCACACACATAAACCCTGAAAGATATGTAAATACCCTTGATCAAGTAGGGAAATAGGAAAATGTTGTGTTCACTAACATGTGTAAAGATGGAGGGGAATCACCCACCCACACAATGAGAGGATGAAATTAAAGCAAATTAGAAGACAGAAAAGGGTTATCCCAAAATTATCCGCAGTTCTGTGTAGTGGGAGACAGTTAACAGTTTGATGATTACGAGTGATGAATAACCTTCTTTCTCCTCCTCTTCTTTATTGAATTTTCTTATCAATTACATTTCACAGCTGTGTTGCTTTTTTGCTTAATAATCGATCTAACGTCACACACAAATGAATTGAAAACTCCCTGTGTGTGTGTGTTGGAGTCAAATGAATACCTATCAGGATTAAGGCACTCCATCTCCCTTCCTCCCTTCCTCAGTTTCTGTCTCATGAAATACAGAATAACATAGTATTAGAAAAGTAGAGACAAATAAATAGGTGGTAGTTTAAACAACAAAGATGAAGTGGGACACCATGATCACACAATTATTTGCGTAACTTGATCACATCCAATGTTTACTTCATATAAATAAAGGAATGGTCAGAAGAATATTGTGAGTTATTCATCTCTACTACTGATGGTGTTTTTAAGTAGTAGAAGAAAATAACGAAAAAATGTCGCTATAATCATAAAAAGAAAACATCTATAGAGTTAGTTGTCTCTAAATGTTTTTTTTTTAAATTCTGTTATCTACTATGTTGTCTACACTCTTACTACTACTATTTGAAATATAATTAATTCCGTTTGACTTCATATCTTTGCATGCAGTGTGTATGATTGATCTGGATTGAATACGATAACATGAGAAAAAAGAGACGAAGACGAGCGGGAAGAACAAGAAGACGTTGTTACGTTGGTGATATCAGTGTAGGATTCATTGGAAATGTTTTACGCAAGCCTAAACACTTTTCACGATCAATGTACAAACTGTTTGTTTTAACTGATAAATCTAATTCTAGATGACTTTTTATACGTAATAATTCTTGATGAGCTGATTGTATGTCGGTTAATTGATTGACAAGTTGATCAACAGATTCTTGTAACTCAGCTATTTCACGCAGTAATCTACAAATGAAGGAAAGAAAGAAAAGACAGGTGAAGATTAATCAACTAAACAAAGTGATGGAGACAAATTGTTGCACAGGTAGATGATTTTGATGTGGTTGTGTTCTCTGAGCTAGCTGGATGGTTTATAGTTGCGGAGCTTTCATCGCCCTACTAGGCAACATCCTCAGCGCATGCTTCAATTTGAATTGAAGTGAGCTTTTAGATTTCTCCACGAGTTTATTAATCATCTCTCCTGGTGGGTGACCTTGGATGTGATTGGTTGTTTTTGCGTGTTTTCACATCCTATAGGCTACTTGTATTGATTGGTGCTAATTGTTTCCTTGACTTGAACTTTGACCCTATTTGTGTGGGGTTTCCTTCTTATCGATTGGTAAATTTTGTCTATGTTGATGTGTCTACTGACTGACGATTCACTGGAATCCCAGGTAGGCTTCTAAATATTCTCTAGCATTCTTGGTATTTCCTCTATCTAATATTTGAACGTTGTCCCAGTCGGATTCATATCTTTGGTTGTCTGTATGTAGTGATATGAGCGAGGGAGTGGATATCATGTTTTTTTTATGGCTAGCTTATGATCATCGATACGAAGTCGAAGGAAATCTCACACACATAGGGTCAAAGTTCAAATCAAGGAAACAATCAGTTCCTATACAAATAACCTGGAAGATGTGAAAACACACAGAAACAACCAATCACGTCCAAGGTCACTAGAAGAGATGACTATGAACTAGTGGAGAAATCATAAAGCTCACTTCAAATTGAAGTATTCGCTAAAGATGTCGCCTAGTAGGGCGATGAAAGCTTCGTAAATAAACCATCCAGTTCAGAGAACACAACTACATCGAAAACTGAGCAAAGTATTCATATTATCTATGTATTTTCAAACATGCTATAGTATATCTCCATTATGGATAAAATTTTATCTTGATAAAATCACACACAGAGCTGTTTTACAGTAATATTTACCGATGACAGCGTTTCGAGAACAATTTATTGCCACTTATAATCATATCAAAGCTCTACTCACATAACTTTCTTGCTTCATTTATACACATGAGTAAAAATTGATGATTAGACATTTGAATAAAAATCAATATAAGATGATAAAGTGCATTTGGAAATAATAATATGAGTGTTATGAATAAAATACAATCAGATGGGAAATAAGACGAAAGTTGTTAGTCAATAAGATGACTGACCCCACGAAGATAAGTAATTTAGAAACAAAACTCAACAATGGCACCACATGCATTAACACACAACCACACAATAGGGTGAATGGAACAGAGTCAAAATTCTAAAAAGTGATATAGGTAGGTGGAGAGAGAGATTGATTAGTGAATCCTGTCTGGTTCATCACGTCTACCCCCAACACTACACATGCAATAGAAGTGACTCAATGCAAATACCAGAGATATGTGTGGAAGATATTATTACCACAAGTCAATCAGTCAAATCAGAGGAGGATAATAAATAATCTTAAAATTCTATCTCAATTCACGTACATTCTAACAAGTTATTTATTTCTTCGCTCAATACTACTCAAGATCAGATGGCCTGCCAGAAAGGTTGAGCAACAGGGAGGAATTTCTTACAATGAACGAACCAACCCAGAGGAGCCAATTGTGCAACAAATATACAGGAAGAAATGGAGTTAACTGGATTGGCCACATTCTGAGAAAACAAACCATTATCAAGTGATATCTATCACACAGGAGACCATCGCTTGAGTGGAAGCCGATCTAGAAGCGGGGAGTTAGTCGTCAGTGCGAAAGTGACATGGAAGAGGAAGTGTTGTAAAGAGGAGATGAAAGCATGTGGACACACGTGAAGACAGGTGAAAACGTTGGCAGAGGACCGAACGTAACGGCAAAGTGCAGCTGAAGCCCTGTTTTCCTTCAGGAACTAAAGGATACAGTAATAATATAATTTGATCGTACATTTAATGGATGCACTTAGAATGGCTACAAGAACTATGTCGCTAAACAGATTATCATTTAATAACCAATTTATATTAGGACTTTTATGCTTGCAAACCTTGTAATATTATTACTGAATACATTTATTTTCTTCTGTTCACGTGATGAATTTGGATTTGAGTTTAACTCATGGCATAACCAAAGTGTATTCATTATTCCATCTTAAATGTATATTGGTTAGCCGTCAGTAATTTCATTCATTTCTGTGTATATAAAGGAAACAAATTTTATACAAGACTGACACTTTTACTGGACATCAGTAACTAGTGTAATGTGTGTGTGTGTGTGTGTGTAATCCTTTCTTCGGGGAAGACCGAATTCTATTAGTCAGCTTTGCAATTCGGTCATCGTTCTAGGTAGCTGGCCATCATGGCGCAATTTGATTAGTTGATGTTAGATTGTTGGAGGCAATTGGCCACAGGAAACCCTATCTGACCTAGGTTTCGTGCTAGTTGGGACTCACCATTCAGCGACTTTGAAGAAACTCATGTCCCCTCCGGGAATCAAACCCGCGTCACCCAGTCCCGCTTACAGTCAAAGGCGTTACCAATGAGCTATTCGGGCTCTCAACTGCCCTCCTGTAAGACTTTATTGTAGTTGCTAACATGACTTGCTAAGGCTTCCTGTGACCGATTGCCTCTAACCATCTAATATACAGGACTGAGATCATTTCAGCTTTATGTTTACTAGTTGAAAACTTTTTCAAACTGTACAAGCCATGGTAATCCACCTATTAAAGTGTAAACAAGGCATACAGAAGAAAGTTTTTCCCAGTAATCAAGACCTATAATGAACCTAATTCGCCTTAAGACCGGCTATTTAATTTCTGTTAATCCTTTTTTTTAGTTTTTCAATTATATTGTTTTTCTCCCTCCAACTGCCACCACCCCCCCCAACTCTATTAAATTTCTACTCCGTATGGCACTGATCTTGTCTTTTTTTCAATAATAGCTGAGTTCTACTCAATCCTAACAATTACATAACGTCACACAGTTAACTTATTTTTTTATTAAATTTTAGTTTTTATACGATTAAGCAATACAAGCATTAACGATTTAGAGGATAAAAGAAGGTTAAAATGAAGAATATTCTTTTCACTAAATTCCCTATCCAGCTCTACAATAATATATATATATATATATATATATATATATATATATATATTATCCTAGAAGAATCTTCCCTGACAGTGTTGATATCTTTTAAATATATGGATTTGAACTGATCAAAAATTCCCATTAAAATTTACAAAAGAATGAATACTGAACAAAGAGTACTTTTTTCAATAACTTCATCAGGCTTTAGAGTTATATAAACATTATAGTGAATGAATAAGTTAGTGTTATGAACGACATTAATGTTGTTTAAATAACATCAAATCAATAATATTGATGGATTACAGCTGAATAGCATCAACATAAAATAAGCTGAATGTCAGAAAAATTAGGAAAGTTAATACTACAAATTCATGAATTTATAGTCTCTATTGAAGGCCGGTCAGGGCAGTAGTGGGGCCTGGACTTGCTTCTTTTGAACACGGAACACTGGTTGTTTGAGGCGAATTGCAATAGGCTCTGCTGTTTGGAGCCTGCGGTGCTTCGATGATTTTGGCAATTTGTTGGGCACCCGGTAGATTATAGAGAAGGATTCTTCATCGATGGCCGGCTTTCTGGCTGGTTCGCACCAGATGGTGCTTTGCATGCTCCAAACAGCAGAGGCTATTGCAATTCGCCTCAAACAACCAGCGCTCCTTGTTCCAAAGAAGCAAGTTCAGCCCCTCCTACTGCCCTGGCCGGCCTTCAGTAGAAAATATAAACTCATGAATTTGTAATATTAGCTTTTCTAATTTTTCTGACATTCAGCTTATTTTATGTTGATGGCATTTAGCTGTAATCTATCTATATTATTGATACGATGTTATTTAAACAACATTAATGTTGTTCATAACACTAATATGGATTCGGTTTTCAACTCTTACCACTGATGGGGGATATCAGTTAGAGTTAGTGGCACATTGGTTAGGACTCTCGCCGACCATACACATGGTCCGGGGATCGAGCCCACGCCAGCGCACACCTGATATCTATGGTCGGCCTGTGAAATTTGGGCTACCGATATCCACGCTGAAAATTCCACAATTGTACCAAAAATACAGTGTGGAATCAAGCTGTAATCAAAAATAAAATAAAAATAAAACTAGAGTGGATTACTAACACCGCTCTTTCGTCCTAGTACGGCAATACGTTAGGGTTCGACCTTCTGGTTACAAGTCAAGCTGGAACGTATAACATTCAGCCACTGGTACCCAACTGAATGGCCAGCACATGAATTCTAACGTCTACCAATTCGTGAGGCATTTAGTACGACCATCAAACAAATTTCATAGGTGGGGAATGTATCCTCACATCCTGACTGGATTCACCTCACTGGTCACAACTTCTTACTAGAACTTCAGGAAACTTCGTCGTGTAGCCAGTCAGTCACTAGCGAGCATCAAATTGATTTTCAAGAGTTTGACCTGTTCTCTAACTGACATCCATACGTTGTCAAACTTGAAAAAAACAAATCAACTCTTGAAAATTAATATCGATTTGTTAATATCCATGGGATTTCAGTTCAAAAACCATTTGTAAACATGAGTAACAAGGTTAAAAAATGTAACACTAAATAAAATATCAAGTAAAATTCTGAAAATTTGTGCAATAAATTAAGGATAGATTATACGTCAATCATGAAGCTAAGAAAAATATCTGAAACAACTTCTTTTGGATACATAAGTTAGGCTTCTTAATCTGGATTTTGACAGCTTCAACAGTATGGAACGGACGAACTTGTAACTTAAAATTAAGATCAGTCGGAATACGGTGGAAAACTTTGATAGCCTTGTTAGCGCAAGTTTTTTGATGTTTATCTACGAGATGAGATAGTATATATCTGCAAATCGATCTTATTTGTCCCTTGCTTAACCACGCGGCAGGATGTCCAGAAATTCGGGAATAAACATGCCCACTTGTACGG